TATGTTTCTGTTTAGACTGGACTAGCTCATCTAATTTTCTGAATATGCTTCTGCTTAGACCCACAGATGGTGCTTGTTTGAAAATCCATGCTATTTGGGGATCTTCTGTTAGTTGAAGGTGATTGTAAACTTTCTTGTGTTTATAATGCAGTTTAAATCAACATGAGCGGACACCCACGGACTTAGACCATTACTTGAGTAGTCGCCTAGCTTTGTACTCGGGCTGAGCGACCCGTCACCAACGCTTTGCAGCTTACTTGCTTGCCTAGCGTATTCGCAAAAAAAATAAATCAACATGATCATGTGCAGTACTAGCATGATCGTGTGTGGTACTAAAATACTTGTTGATTTGATATTTTTTAGATTACTTCAGAGTATCTAATTATAGTGTCCGCCACAATGAGATGCGGACAAAATGCACTGCCACCGCCTCAAAAGGATGTGCAAGCCACATTCTAGTAGAATTTCTAGATAGAAATGTGAAGTCTTTTGTACTGTATGTATATACTTGTATGTAATGAAGAAAGAGTAATTAATAAAATGTTCAGTTGTCACCATGCAAAAGGAAAATGTTCGGTTGTCTATTCAACAACCCAAGGATTCTCTAAAAGTGCATATGAGAGAGGTGCTGAGCCCGCTATTTTTCTTTTTAGAAAGAAATACTATTTCCACAGCTCAAAAAATCTAGAAAAAAATAAACACATAAACATATATTTGTAGTATACATGTAAAAAAATTCAATAATATATATGCTCATATTCGGTGTACAAAAAAATGACAAATACATAGATTGAAGTGGGCCTTTTATTTGTTGTATTTGGGCCAGATTTGTTCTGCGTAGCCTAAAAGAAGATGTATATGTATTTGTATAATCGAAACTTCACGGATACTTAAACAACATGTATATGTCTTTGTAGATTTATTTTTATTTTTTGTAACATTAAATTTAAATTTATTAAAAAAGGGCTCCACCCGTCCTAACAAATGCCGCACTCAAAGGATTACAAACTTTATGGAGTGATCGGTTGTTAATTTAGTTACTGAGCGGATTAACCGGATTGCCAAGAAACACCACTATAGATGTCCTCTCCTCGACAACAACAAATAAAGAAGGGCCGATATGCCACAAAATCCAATGTGGCCGTGGCGCACCTGGAAGCGCACTGCCGTCCATGTATACGACTGTGCAGCAGCATCCACAATGCCTAGCTAGCCCACCTCGATGAATTATGTGCCAGGACGTTGAGCCTTCCGACAATCTCAGTCACCACCACGTGGTGCAGCTCATCGAGATACGTTGACCCGATGAACTCTAGGAGCTCCCTACACGTGTCGCCCCACATGTCAGCATCCACCATTGTGAGCGATGTGTGGGTGGATAGCGGTGAGACGACTAATCAAGCTTGCAAAAGATATGGTGAGATTGACCTTAACATGTCAGCATCTCAGAGTCGCTTGGATGTCGTTGTCCTAAAGATACGAGAACAACAGTCATCCAAAAGGTGATACTGGACTTACCCTTGTATTTGATTAGGGCAATATGGTTGAATGCCACTGTTGTTTCTCACAAATGCAATATTTAACTATGAAAAGTGATGTAGGGTGGAACCCTAATTCATGACCTTTTCACACTTGGTGATAGGGAAAGAGGCAAATCAAGAAAACAACACAAGAAGAACACTCAATTGATCAAGATCCCAATGGCACATATGCTAAATCCACATACACAAGAGGGATACAAAGGTCCAAATCCAACACAAGAAGGCAAAGAGGAACTAGTTCATCCCAATCCTTAGAGGAATTAAGGGCTTGATATCCAAGAGGATCTTTCCTAGAAGGGGTCTTCAATCCACTAGGGGATCTTGTCACATGGAGGCCTTGATCTCCATGGAAGAGGGTAAGAAAACCTCAATCTCTAATCTGATCTATCACTTTGCTAACCCTAGTTTGTCCAAGTGAAGGGGTGTATATAGTCTAGGGAGAGAGAGGGGGATACATGGCTCGAAACTCGAGTGGCTGCGCACAGGAAGTTCCGGGCGTCCGGAAGTTACCAGTCGTCTGGTGGCTTGTGAAGGACCGGACGTCCGATGTGCTCGGATTTCTGGCGTTTTGGCTCTGTTGGGCCAGCGTCGGATTTCCGGTGTGGGTCGGTTGTCCGGAGGCGTCAGATTTCTGGTGATTTGGTACTGGTCCTGGCGCGCCGGATATCTAGTGGGGTCCAGTCATCCGGGACCTGTAGCACGTCGGATGTCCGGTACTTGACAGTCATCTGGCCGCTGTAGCGTATGTCGGTTGGCCCTTATGGTTGGCTAATTTGTTGTGTGTCGGACATCCGGTAACAACCGGTCGTCCGGTGCCTATAGCTTGTCGGCAGCTTCTTCTCTTGCTTCTAGCACTTGGTCTCCTTGCCGTCTTGTCCATTGTTTGTAGCTGTTCCATGGCCTTCTTCCAGGTACCTGATCACACATACTGTCTCCGCTTAAGGCAGGAGCCATGTCTCACATATGGAATGTGTAAGTTCGGAGAGGAGTGAGTTCACCTCAGTTTCAATTGCCCTTGCATGAGCTCTAGTCATTGGTCCGCTTGATGTCTTGGGAGACGAAGGTACGTTCATGGGGATGACCATAGGATGCTCCGCATCAAAAAGCTATATCTACAAATATAACTAGAATCATTTTATAAGTACATGAGGAAGCACACCCCTTACAACAGACACTATTCTTGATACAATCAAAAATTTCGATCATATCTTCTGTACCTAACTTAATAGACCATCAACACCATTACAAGAAGACAATCTAGTGATCTAATGTATTTTTCAAACTAGAAACTTAATGAAGTTATCAGTCATTATAAAAGTAGCAAAAATAATAATAGCATGAAAACCTCAAAATCTATCCTCGTAAGACAGTTTTTTCGACTATTTTCCACCATCACCCTTGCCTGATGTTTTTTTAGTAGATCACCTCTAGCACAAGCATCATCTTTATTGTAATTCTAGACATCTCCACATCATGAAATTGTATGTTTAAGTCTACCCGTAAGTTGTGGAAAAGTTTTTTTAAAGACTGGATTAAGATTTTGCATCCTCCGGGTCTCGCTATAGCTGTCCATTTTCGAGCTCAAGTTTTTTACTTTTCCACCCGTTCCTCTCACTACAATGAGAATCGGAAAAAACTACTCTTTCGCTCAGTCTATAGTTAAAAATAAAACGATTATTATTTATTTATACTAAATATTTTTATTTGTTTAAAATTATATATAACTCATTTTTTCAAAATTTAATTTTAACCACTAACCATTGATATTCAAATATAATATTTTATTACATAATTCTCATTTTTAATTAATATAATTTTTACTTGACCCATGGATACTACTTAATTTTAGTTTAAATCATAAATTGTAAATAGTGCAACCTAGTTGTTTTAGTTCTAAGACGGTAGACTAGACAAAATTAAAATGAACAAAATCGTATGTCTTAACAAGTTATTTTGTGACATTTTGATGAACTACAAATATATGTACATGTTTGTGTCTTTTTCTAGACGCATCGTTGTCTATTTTAGGTATAAGTAAATAAATTGCATAAATATCAATGTTCAAAATAAAAAGTTCTAGAATATACAATAATCTATGAGGAATGTGTCCTCAAATTTTTGCATTGTTCTTTTGTAAGTTCTTTAATGGCAAAATACAATTAGCTGTTTGGTTCCAAATTGTATCATTCAACTCAAATTGCATTAAAACGCATGTGTGGTTTTCTTGGTTTCATCTTTCTTCTTGGTTCAATATCAAATTTGCATAAACTTGCACGTCTCATCTTACTCGCTCAAAACATTGGGCTATGTATTAATATATAATATAATATGGAGTCTAAAATGCCACGAGCCTCTATTTTTTGTTTTAAAATAATAACTTTGACATGCATTATATAACTTTGATATATGCCACGAGCCCTGGTTGATTCTCAAAAATGAAACATTCGACATTGCATTATATAACTTTGACAGGTGCTACTATCTACATTCATTTTTATATGTTGGGTTATTTAAATACCTTACCACGTGGTTGCTACTATCTACATTCATGTTGGAATGTTGAACTAGTTTTTCCTTTTTATGATAGCTAACCACTCATGACTAGTTTTTTTCTTTTCTTTTATTCTTTTGCATATTCTAAGGGATTATTGACAATAATTGCTTCTATCATTGTACCACTCCATATTTGCTTCATATCTATTTCCGACAATATCTACCCCCAACATATAATTTTCAAGGATATTTCGATTTTTCATTTTTCTATAATTCTTAAATCCAAAACTTAAGGCTATACATCTACACCTAATAATAAATGGGCTATTGTTTCTGGCAGTACGCCACAGAAATTGCCCGAAAATTGCAAAATATTACTCATCAATGCCACCTATAAGTGATAAAAAATATTTGTATTTTTTTTGCAGATACAAAAGATGTTCAGAATTTTATAAAAAAATGCTTGCTTATTGAAAAAAAATGAAATTTTGAAAACAAATATTCGGGAAATCAAAAAATTTCCATGATTTTTTAAAAAGTTCGTGTGTTATAAAAATGTTAATCAAATTGAACAAAATCTTGCCAATTCAACAAATGTTCATGATAGGAAAAATGTCATAAAAATTCAAAAACTGTTCGTGACTTACAAAATAATTTATTCATGCATAAAATGTTCGTTGATCAAAAAATGATCATGCATTTCAAAAAAAATGTTACACCATTTGATAAATCAGGAAATTTGAATTAGACCAAAACTACTTTTGGGATTGTCAAATCCATTTTGAGAGACAAATAAAAAACCATGATACTAATAAGAATAGTTAAAAGGAGTACCTAGCTTGTCTAAAAGTTGAGGTTGATGAAAGAAATCTTCACCACAATCTATAGCTACAAATAACTCAAAAAGAACTACAGTAGTAGAGTTCATCTCAAGAATACAATTGATCTTGTCTCTGTCCTGATATCCTACATGGTCTCCACGATAAGCTCTCGTAGCGCGCGGCGCGACGCCTCCACGTCCCGGCGGGCCACGAACGGGTGCGCGAGCAGCTGCGGCACCGTGGCGCGCCTCCGGGGATCCTTCTGCACGCACGCCTCCACGAACCCGCGCAGCTCCGCCGACGCCACCGCGCTCTCCGGCACCGAAGGAGGATCGCCGTAGCAGATGGCCTCCTTGAGCATCTTCCAGGACGGCGTCCGTTCGGCGGGCAGGACAGGGCGGTGCCCCAAGTAGAGCTCCAGGACGGTGACGCCCAGGCTCCAGACGTCGGCGGCGCATGCCCCACGCGGGCCGGCCTGGGCGTTGAGCGCAAACCGCTCGGGGCTCATGTACGCGGTGGTGCCAACGGCGACGGAGACCCGAGGAGAGCGGTGGCCGTCGGGGGAGAAGATCCGCGAGACGCCGAAGTCGGCGATCTTGACGTCCCCGCGTGCGCTGGCGAGCAGGTTGTCGGGCTTGAGGTCGAGGTGCGCGACGCCACGCGCGTGGAGGTGCGCCAGGCCGAGGGCGCAGCGCGCGGCCACCTCGGCCAGCGCGGGCTCCGGGAGGCCGCCGCGGCCGCCCCGGCGGCGGAGGACGTCGTGGAGCGACCCGGCGTCCATGAGCTCGAGGAGGCACGCGGGCTCGCCGCCGGCGCTCCGGAGGACGGCGTGGCAGCGCACGACGTACGGCGACGGCGGCCCGGCCCCGCACGCGCGGCGGAGCACCTCGTCCTGCTCCCTCCCCGCGTCGGTGTCGTCGGGGTAGTGCGCGACCTTGAGCGCGAACGCGGGGCCGGCGGTGCTGCCGCGGAGCCGCACCTTGGTCACGACCCCGCTCGCGCCGTCGCCTAGGTCGGCCACCCACTCCAAATCGGACAGCTTCAGCCGGCGCTCCTCCCCCTCCCTGTCCATACCAGCGGCGGCAGGAGGTGGCATGACGGCGGCGTGAGGCGCAGGCGCGGCGAGGTCCGGGCGGCGGAACATGAGGTGGGGTGCGCACGGGGGCATCGTGCCGCCGGGCGCCATGCGGACGCGAGGCAGCAGTTTTTCCAGAAGCAGCTATAGCTCGGCCGGGCGCGTCCCGTGCTTCGGCTTTAGCGGCAGGCAGGCAAGGACCCGTCAGCGACTGCCAGCGGTGGACCGAGTGTCGGAGAGGAGAGACGAGAAGGGGTCGGAGTTGGAAAGCGACTTGGAGTAGAGGCCAAGGAAGGAAGGAAAGGGCCGTCCGCCGTCGTCGTCGTTCAAACCAACCGAACCGTGGTCGCCTGGCGCAGCCCACAGCTCACGATTCTCGCGTTTCACTTTTCCAGTTTTATTACTCCCTCTTTCACAATCACAGGCTGTGCTTCTGCGCGTGGACGGCGCAGGGCCGACCTGTGCACAGCACATGAGCTGCATGCCATGTCACGTGGAAAATGCCCCCTTTTATTTTTGGTCCACATTTATTTCTATCCAAAAAATAGCGTGCCTAAGCTTTTACAAATGTATTGAAAAACATAAATATGTGTAGGCAAGCAAAAAAAACATATATGTACTAACATCAAAAGATCGGTTTGCATCGGCAAAGCCATCGACATGGACAACTGCTGCCGCCAATGTCAGCCTCTCCTCGGGCGGTGACCAACCATCGGTCGACATCCATGTGGCGTCGCACCGTGTCCTGCTCCATCTGGCTCGTCGTGTTGTCCTCAACTATGTCGGTTCAACTTCATCATTGCCGAGCTTCAAAGGCCAGCCCGTTCGGTGCATGTTTTAGATCCAGCAATCTTGTTTTGCATTACTTCCACTCGCAAAATCTCAAAGGCATGTATCCCCGAAAAAAAAAAGTGAACTCCAATTTTTGGATAGCCTTCATTTCGAATTCCCCTTCGCCTTCCACCAAGCCAGTCGACATCTGGTTTCGATCTATTGCTCATGGGCATTCAATACAATTATGAGTGTCATAAGGCGCACCTCAACATGCAATCATGCATGAAAAAATACCCACCACAACATTCAACTGTGCATGAGAAAATAATTTTCATTCAATTATTCTACTTATATTAAATAAATATTGTTACAACTATGGATAATCAAATTTAAATATTTAACAAGTTATATGTGTTTTAAATTTTCATTCTCATGTTAAAACCAATTTCCATCGAGTAATTCCCGCAGCAACGCACGTGGTATCTTCTAGTTGCGTGAAATTGTCGCCCATCCGCATAGGGTGTGAAGTAGCTGGGTCTGCTAGTTTTTCTCCATGTTCGACGTTATTTCCTTACCAATTTTCTTCCAGTTTTTAAACTTTTTATTTTCCATTTTCAAATATTTCTTTCCTTATTTTTTATACAAAAATAGTAAATATGCATATTCTTTATGTTTGAGAAAAAATCTTAACTTTCAGAACTTTTTCCAAAGTTCATGTACATTTAAAAAAAATTGTGACCTTTTAAAATATACTAACATCTCCTAATTTTGAAAGTATTTTTAAATTAGAGAACATTTTAAAATTTTGAGAAGAATGTTTGAAATACAAAAGAAAATCACTTGGACTCATCTCTACAGTACATAACAGCCGGCCTAGTTGTGGACGGTCTGTGCATTTGCCCAACATTTGAGCATTTTCATGCAAAAAGTGTCAAATAGGTGTTCTCGTACTTATGCGGATCGGCTACTGCAGCAAACCATACAATAAATCGACCCTGTTTTTAAGGTTTTTTTATTTCACTTCATTTTGCAAAAGCACGAACAATTTTTGAAATTCATGACCAGTTTTTAAAAACATGAACATTTTTTGAATATGATAAATTTTGAAACAAGAACAATTTTGGATATCTGAGCAATTTTTGAAAACCATGGACGTTTTTTGAAAATGTGAACATTTTTTATTTATATGGAAAATTTGAAAATGAGACATGTTTATGAAATTCTGAATTCTTATTGAAATGCAGAAACATTTCTTGAAAACTTCCAACCAATTTTCAATATTGCTACTATTTATTTTTGAATTTATAAATAATTTTTTTAAACCAGAAATTTCTTTATAAAATGAATAATTAATAAACCCGAATATGTTTTTCAAACCTGTCGATGAAATTGAGGATTGGTACGACCATTGTTACGAGCTCACCGCTCGTACCCTAAGCTGTCTTAGAAATGAATACGAGCAATGGTACAAACTCAGTTGCTCGTACCTTGCACCGTCTTAGAAAATGAGACTTTCTTTGGACTTTGGTACAAACTCCTCCGATCGGCACGACCGCCAGTACGAGGGTGATCGCTCATACTGAATGTCGTCGATTGCTTGGTTTCTTTGGACTTTCCTCGCCTGCATGGTACGAGCAGAGGTACGTGTACCTTGCGCCTCGTTTGTCTTGAATTGCTTTTCTTTAAGAAAAAATCTTGGTTAGATCCAAAGGACAAATATTCCATAGGTCTAGCTTCCAAATTAGAACCACTTCAAAATGGTAGGTCTTTAGTAACTTTTATTGAATTCACTCTTAGTCTATAACTGAAGACTAGACTTTTATTAATGATTCTAGTTTACCAAATAGTTTGTCGCCTTCTCAAGTGGCATAGCCTCTTCGATCATTATGAAGTTTATTT